ACATTCTAGGGTGCTGCTATCAGTGATACTGTGACAAGCCATGTAATTATAATTAAATGTTCATCACTGGCCAGAGATATGAAATTTTGGGGGAAAACTGGAAATCTTGGGTTTATGCGTAGGACTGTACAAGTAGTATTGTTTCAAAAGTTAGGTTTGAACGGGTACAGTACACACCTCTACAATACTTTCACATAAAGCAATGTTTTCTGCAATGCAATAACTTATTTTGAAAGCTTAGAAAGACAACTGTCTATGTGATATAAAACTCATAATTTAGTTGCTTAAAAAGTACAAATTTTTCTGAAAAATATATAAAATAGCAATAATTTTTGGGTACAAAATATACCCCAGGTGTGCCATGATTAAGTCATGTTGTAATGTACTCTCCCCATGAGAAAACTGCTAACTTGATGGTTGTTAATTAGAAATGAGTCAGCCACTCTCATTACCTGACAATATTAGAGTTTATTACCTACTCACTTAATGTTCATTAAAACAACATGTATATTTTGCTCAGAAAATCCCCCTTCCTTTTTCTTAATCAGAAAGTACAGTAGCCAGGTAAATGAAAATTTTCATCAAGAATATCCAGGAAAGATTTAATGGCCAACCCGAATATATGTATAGGTTTATTTTAACTTGTATTTATTTATGTGCTTTGATTACGAATTTAAGTATTTGGGCTACTTTTCAAGTAAAATATTTTAACAGATGCTTTTAAATGCATCTTTGTAAATTACAGTGCAAGACAGACCGAGAACACTTCAGGAACAAATTGTAACAGTCATCCAAATTCTTTGAACCAGATCAGTGACATTATTAATATTCATTTATTTAATTTTTTAGTAAAACATCATCATTTACAAAAAGGTCTGAAAAAGTATTTTTTTCTTTTAAATCAATTATGTGTTAATATCATTCTTCAAATAAATTACTCTTGACTAAGAAAAATACTAAAATATTAGCATTGCAGGTATCACACTTCTTGGAAACTTCTTTGAACATTGTGAACAATACAACTTATAGATTTTCACTATGATTAATAAATGATGCAGATGTACATAGCAGGGCACAAACCTTACAATAAGCCATTTGATATCCTTGGCTTGGCCTTAAGAAAAGACAGTTCCTTAAATATTGTTCCATTTAGTTCATTAAAACTTTCGCAGAGGAAAGACCTTGAAAGTAAACAAGCTGCGAACTAATGCACGAGTCCTCCCAGCAATATTTATCGTATATTACTCATAGAGAACAAATCCTCGACTTCATTACTCATAATTATTCCGCTGCTCTGAGAATAAAAATTGTAAGCTCGGAAGCTATTAAGCTGTTTTTTTTATCATTTCAAGAATTTGGGTCTATAACAAGATTACCATGAAGGAAATTGTTTTAAAATGAAGCCATATTTATCATGGGATTGTATTTTATTCTATTAGATTAATGTAAGTTTACTAAAACAAATCAACTTTGTTCTCCATTATTTTCATATTTTTAATAATCCATTAAGGAACTGTTGATATATACATGTATAGGTATTCTTGATACAAATGTATAATAATTATTAACCAATTTTGATAATTGGAATTATGTCCGTTTCATAGTAAAACACACCTTTTTCAAAAAAATAAATAAATCTCTAATTAAAATTGAGAATAAGCATGCATATAAAGCATATGTAAGACATATCTAAAGTATGGCAAACAAGAAAGAGGAATACACATATATACCCTGTACATGTACATCCTGCTACCCAAGAATGTAAAAATAATACAGGAATTCAATATGAAAGCCAGGTCATCATTCATACAAATTATATGTTGAAAAGTAAAAACTTTCTGGCTATAATATAGTTGAGGCAATAAAATGTTTTAGCACCTGTATGCACTTATCAATTTCTTTGAGTTTGATTTGGTCCATTTACTTCACAAGGTGATCTTTTGGCCATTAGATTTGCAAAATTAAGTATTATTATTGCATTATTCCTGCATCCTGCTTAATTGGATATGAGTATATGGTTATATAATGATAATCAGGGTGTTTTTTTTTTACTTTTCTAAAATTTTGCCATAAAAGTCTAGTTCTTTCTTTTGAAATTGATTTTTTCTTAATCATTAAATCGTAACTCCCTAAGAATTTCTGTGGGACCTGTTTTATGTCTATGTCTATAAGGCAATTTTATGTTTCACACTGGGGATTTAGTGACATTAAATATATCCGGAAATTGGGATATCAAAAATTTAACAAAGTCAAAGATGAAATATAAGATTTTATAGCATTATCCCTATTTGGTATTTAAGTCATATATAAATACTCGGCTGACATGGCATAAATGCTGAGGAGAGAGTAATAAGAAATTTTCATGCCCCTTTATGCAAGTAAGCAACAAAATTGTACAATTTGATTGTATTATATGTGCCATAATTCACCATCAATGCCAACAGAGAAGCTTTTGTCAAAATAGGAAAAGGTCATAAATGCATGCCTCACCTTCCAAATGCTTTTTAACTTTGTAACTTATAAGTAATCATCTAGTAATCAGATCAGTATTGTTAAGGCTGGACCTTATAGCCCCATACCACTGAGCACTGCCTAAAACAAAGTTATTGATACTAAAATCCTTGAAATATGCAAATAATTTTAAGACAACATAATCAAAGACCTGAACCAACGACATAATTGACAAGTACTGACCAATTAATCAACCAATTCCTACAATCAACTGAATCATTGATTGACTGACTGACCAAATCAACCATCCACCAACTGACTGACCAACTGACTTATTGACCGACTGACTGACCAATTAACCATCCACCAACCGATGGACCTATTGACTGACTGATGGACCATCAAACATCCACTAACAGACTTGACTTACTGACTGACGGACCAATCAATCAACCATCTACCAACTGACTGACCAACTGACGATGGACCAACTTAGTTACTGAGTGAGGAAAACTGATGGGAAGTCATAACTTTCATCATAATATTTCATACGCCTTCTTGCTTAACAAAAATGCATTTCCTTTAAAAAGACAAGCATAAATTCCAGGTGTTTTAAATGCTGACAACTGCATAAATACATGTCTATTAAAAACTTTTTTTACCAGGTGCCATAAATTTATTATCAAAGATTTACCAAACATTTATCCTACATCAAACAGTAGAGTTTCAGGGAAAAATGGAATGTCATCAATTAAAATGTTCATATAATGTATTTCCCCTTTGCATGACATAGCACTCTACAAATTACATACAACTAAAACTGTAATCATTTAAATTGATTACAGACATTACATAGAGAGGAAAGAGAAAGTTTAAAATTCTAAATCAATAAACTAAAACATCTTTTAAACAAACCTTATGGAAGATAAACTCTTAGAATAAAATCCAACATCCAAACAAATTTTCTGTCTTTGAGTATAATCACAAAGTTAATGATGTTTGTAAGATAAAATTAAAAAAAAATCCCAAGTTTTTCAACAGAGTAATCACACTTTTGGTTTAAGTAAACTCTAATCCAGATAAAAGATATTGTCAACTTCATGTACTCAGAGGAACGTTTCAAAAGAATTCCTTTCCACCAAAAAGAATGTCCTTAAATGTCTGGAAAACACATAAAAGTCTATTAAATTGGAAATTATTTGACATATGGCATGGTGTGCTTGATATTGCTAGAATATTACTCTCTAAAAATAAAAAAAAATCCTGTTCCGTAACCATGAAAATAGAAAATTTCTTTGGACCTCATCAGTTTTGATCAGAAATATGATGTATGTTTTGGTAAACCAAGCATTAAATTGATTGGTTAGAGAGAGATGGAACACATTATCTATGTCCTGTAATGTAATGATTGTATATTTTATGTTCAATGTTATACAAGTATCCCCAGGACATGCAATCAAACACTGCGACCCATAATAAAACTTACCCAAAATAATGATAGTGTATGTATATAATAGACTGGTTGGTGAAACAGAATAAATAACAACAATAAGTATGCAATAAATCAGGACCAGTCTGAAAAAAGAAGCATCTGATTGGTTGTTTTTTAACAAAAACTTAAATTGACCAATGACAAGGCTCAGCCTCAGATTCAGTATCTAAATAACCCGAGTGCAATTAACATACCAGTTTTAGCTCTGAAGAATGTTAAAAGTCAGATTTTTTAAAGTGTCAGATGTTGAATAAGGTGAATTTTATTTATATATCACATATAGATTCAGCATGTCAAATTTAAAAGTTTTGTAAATGTCAACTTCTCCACATTATTCTCTAAATAATAAATTATTTTAGGATCAATAACCAGAACTTAAATATCCTTCAGTGACTCAATAATCCTATTGACAGATCGTCAAAATTCTTCACTTTAAAAAACACATCTCTGTAATTACAACAACTTCTTCCTAAATTCAATAATTCTGGAATATTATATTCATCATTCTTTAACAATCATATGCAAAATATCTACATCAATCATAATATATAACAGAATAAACATTTTGATACAAATTAAATATGACATGTTAACAACTAAGTACTTTGTCAAAAGTAGTGGTAGTTCTGCTATCTTTTGGAATATCAACTCCAAAGTCCTTGGGTTCCATTTAACTGACATCTACAATAAACATATGGCAAAACTAATGGCTAAAATATTCATTTTCTCTTTAAAAACAAGTTCAGGGAAAAGAGCTCTTTCATAAGTCAATGAACATAAAGAATAAGTTACTAATACAATGATAGGGAACCTTAAAAACAGGCTTTCTATGTGCTTTACATTTGAAATTATGTTTGAAACAATATAATATCTCAAAAACTAAATCAATCGAAATTTCTCAATATTGTATCTAAGGGGAGGTAACACAGAATTAACTGTGTATAAAATGAATCAAGGGTTACTGTTTTTTCAAAATGGGACACAACTGCAAAACAACATAAAATACTGGCTAATAAGAGTTATTTTCCCCTTGTAAAAATAGAAAGTCATGACTTACCATTTGTGCACTGTTTTTTTGGCTTGGTCTTTATATCCTGAAGTTTCTCATTAGCTAAAAATAAAACAAAACAAAAATTCAAGAGTGAAAATTTAAATAATTCAGACAAAATCTATGACAAAAATTAATACGTGAGCTTTATAACCATAAACTTGTTCATTTCATTGTATATGATGCTGCTAATACAGTCAAAATGTAAATGAATTACAAATCAAAGCACAGAAGGTGCTGAGTTTGTTTTGGGTCTCAGAATGTCACAAAAGGTGAAGGTTGTGAGATTATAAACCAATTTTTTTTTTGTATAGTGCCACCAATGCTTTCCAGTGTTTTAACTGTAGTAAATTGGCTATAAGACTAATTGCAACACTGACATTAATTCAATGTTTATTTGGTTTAAACAATTTAAAAAAAACAACAAAAAAAACCAAAAAAACATGAGTTGCCTTAAGCTTCCTAAAGCGAGCGTGTAAACCCTCGACCACAGGGAGTTATAAGATAACAGTCTGAAGAAAACCACATTATTCTAAATTAGGGTTTGTAACCCTTATTAATTTCGATATATTTTGTTCACGGTAAACCTGTTGTTTAACACTGATGTAAATAATCATTCAGGTTAATATAAGCATGTATATCTATAAAGAATAACACAATATTAGAAATCTTCGACTAATCGGGAACTATTTTTTCTTCCCCAAGAATACTTGAAAATTTATGCGCCTGTCATTTGACAATCTTTACGCAGTGATCTCTCCTTAATTTTTCGGTGTTTGTGTACATAGAAAGGGAAGTTACCGCTTCGAGGAGTTTGGACTACTTTCAGTATTTGCAAATAAGCACATCAGGGTCTGAAATTTCGCTACCATTATTTGTTTGGTCTGAAACCAAAATTATCAGTAAAATTTATATAATTTTAAAATATAATAACATTTGTATTTTCATCACAATCATCATTATGTTCTCTCTCTGATGGACTTGCCATTAGGTAAATCATAATAAACAGTCAAAATACATATGAACAGCCAAATAAAACTTCTACTTCACTGCAAAAAAACAAAAAAAAAAACAAGAAAATAAATTAAGACAGCTGCATTTATTTTGGTAAACACCAGGCAACAGCTTTTTGCTTATGCTCTCTGTTTATAAAACATTATATAGAACATTCATAAATTGAGGTAATGATGAAATATGAAATCATTTCATCTCATATCTTGGAACGATAATTGTTGAGAAATTTATTTGGGAATTTGAATGAATTCAGTGAACAACAGATTACTAGCAAGGCTCAATTTTCAAATTTGTTACGGCAATTTGAGTATATTAGGTCTATGAGAAAAGTGATAACCAGTCTGTAAGGAACATAAGTGTACAACAAATGTGGTAACAAGTATGTGACAAACATAATAGAAAATAGACTTTGAGAAAATGTGACCATGAGAAACATGATAACACGACTATGAGAAATGTGACCTTGAGAAACATGACGTGACAAAATATGATAGCAAGTCTTTGAGACAATGTTTCCAGAAAACCACGAAAATAAGACTATGAGAAATGTGACCATGAGAAACATAATAAAAAATTTATGAGAAATGTGACCTTGAGAAACATGATAACATGTCTATGAGACAATGTGACCAGAAAACCATGAAAACAAGACTTCAAGTCTATGAGAAAATGTGACCAAGAGAAACATGATAACAAGTCTATGAGACACTGTGACCAGAAAACCATGAAAACAAGACTTTGAGAAAATGTGACCATGAGAAACATAATACAAGTCTATGAGACAATGTGACCTTAAGAAACATGATAACAAGTCTATGAGAAAATGTGACCATGAGAAACATAATAACAAGTCTATGAGAAAAAGTGACCATGAGAAACATAAAAACATGTCTATGATAAATGTGACCATGAGAAACATAATAACAAGTCTATGAGAAAATGTGACCATAAGAAACATGATAACAAGTCTATGAGAAAATGTGACCATGAGAAACATGATAAAAAGTCTATGAAACAATAAGACCATAAAAAAACATGATAACATGTCTATGAAAAATGTGACCATGAGAAACATAATAACATGTCTATGTAAAATGTGGCCATGATGAACATAATAACAAGTCTATGAGAAAATGCGACCATGAGAAACATTATAAAAAGTCTATGAAACAATGTGACCATAAGAAACATGATAACATGTCTATGAAAAATATGACAATGAGAAACATGATAACAAGTCTATGAGAAAATGTGACCATGAGAAACATGATAAAAAATCTATGAAACAATGTGACCATAAGAAACATGATAACATGTCTATAAAAAATGTGACCATGAGAAACATGATAACAAGTCTATGAGAAAATGTGGCCATGAGAAAGTAAGTAAGTAAGTAAGTAAGTAAGTAAGTAACGACTTTATTTAACGAGGCTTACACATTCGGTTTCCCGATCTTCCATGTGGGCCTCAGCATAACATAATTACAATCAGTTTACATGTACACAACATATACACAACATATATACACAAATATTATTAAAATAGATCAATTAAATTGAAGTAATGATTGATAAAGCAAAAAATGGTATGATTGTACAACAATACAGAGAAAAAGAGCAATATGTACAGATAGGTAAAACTAACATAGTACCTGTTTAAAACAATATTCAGTTCCTATTTAAAACAATATTTATACTTAAAAATACACCATGGAAATTCAAATGATAATGTAAGTGATATTATTATCTAATACATATTGGCTTGATCATGAGTTATTTTAAAATATTACTAAAATATATCTATATATATACATAAATTTAAGTTCAATTGGAGTAGGAAATCATCATTTGGCATCATTGAATCATAAATTTTCCTATTGGGAAAATATGGGACAAAAGAAAAGGAACCATAACAATAGTAATATAGTAATATTAAAATACATATAAGTAATTTATACAACAGGAATAAATCAACAGCTAGTTTAAGGTGAAAACTGCCATTTGATATAAGCTGATTGAAATTTCCGAAGAGTATCGGAATTTCTTATATGTACTGGTATGTCATTCCAAATTTTTGGACCAGAGTATGCAAATGATTTTCTGAAGAATTCTGTTTTAGGTTTTGGTATAATTAGCTTTGCATTTTGTGCTGATCTGAGATTTAAGTTGTGCCTTTCATTTACTGTCTGGAATTTATTTTTCATATATGTTGGAAAGTCAGGTTCATTAATTGATTTATACATAAGAATTGACTTTTTGTATATGATTCTTTGGTCAAAAGACATCCAGTTTAATTCTTTGAATAATTCACTTGATGGTGTATCAAAATTTTTGTCAAGGAGTATTCTTGCTGCCCTTTTTTGAAATTTAATGACATCAGATAGTAATTCGTTATTGCAGTTTCCCCAAATACTACAACAGTAGTCCAAGTGAGGCAGTATGTATGCATTAAAAAAAAGTTTTCTTGAATGAAGATTAAGAAACTGTTTAAGTCTAAGAAGTAAATACAGCTGTGAGTTGCATTTTTTTATGGTTGACTGGACCTGTGTTTTCCATTTAAGATTGTTGTCTACATACATTCCAAGTAGTTTTTCAGTGTTTGTATATTCTATTTCTTGATTATTAAGAAACAAAGTAGGGGGTTGCATATTATCTGTTTTTGTGCTTTTTATTGATAAATGCATAGCTTTAGATTTCTGAGCATTCAGAACCATTGCATTTTGCATGCACCATGTGTTAACATTATCAAGATCTTTTTGAAGGTTGCTGTTTACTTCTTGTAAAGTATTGCCAGTAGTTGTCAGAGAAGTGTCATCTGCAAACATATCAGTAATTGATTGTTTGATATGAAATGGTAGATCATTGATGAATATAATGAATAGAAGGGGCCCAAGGACTGAGCCTTGGGGTACACCTGAGACAACTTCAGCTGGTTCAGATAATACACCAGAAACATTTACTTTTTGATACCTGTCTGACAGATAAGATTTAATCCAATTTATAGCTTGTGAAGAGAGATGATAAAAAGGTAGTTTTTCAAGTAGTAGGTTATGGTTTACTAAGTCAAATGCCTTAGATAGGTCCAGAAAAAGTGTACCAACAAGTTTGCCATTGTTTAGTGTATTGATCCAGTTATCAACTATATTTGTAAGTGCTGTTTCACAGGAGTGGCTTGTTCTGAAACCGGACTGTGTAGTGAAAAGTAAATTATTATTTTCTAGAAAGCATTTCAAATGGTCTGATACATGCTTTTCAAATATTTTAGAAATAAGTGGAAGTATTGATATTGGTCTATAGTTATTTTTGTCTGATTTTGACCCTTTTTTGTAGACAGGTATAACCTTTGATTGTTTAAGCTGTGTTGGGAATTTTCCATATTCTATACTTAGATTTATTACAGAACAGAGAGGTTTACAAATGACGTCTGAGGCTGTTTTTAGGAATTTTGCACTTATGCCATCTAAACCAGTTGCTTTTGTAATATCAAGACTGTCCAACTTTTGTTTGACATAACTTATTTCAACAAAGGGTATTTTGAATTTATAAGAATGATTTGGAGTGTCAGATTTCAGAGAATCATTTAAAGCGGTTTTCATAGAATCTGATAATTCATTAATGTTTTCAGCCTTTTTAAATATATTTGCAAAAAAGTTGTTAAAAGTTTCTGCTGTTGATTTTGGGTCAGTTATTGGTGAACCATTCTCATCATTTATGTAGTTTGTTTGATGATTTTCTGTTTTGCCAGATTGAATTTTTAAGTTTTTCCATAATTTTCTAGGGTTTTTCTTGTTTGAGTTTATCTCTTGTTCAAAGAAATCTGTTTTTGCTTTATGTGTTAATGTTTTTACTTGTGATTTCCAGTATTTGAAGTCATGAATATTATTTTTCTTTTTTGCATAGTTCCTTTTTTTGTCTTGCATCAGCTATATCATCATTAAACCAATCAGCTTGGTTTCTATGTTTTACTCGTTTCTGCTTGTATGGAGCATGCTTATCTAAAGTTTGTAAAAATAATTTGTTAAATGTATCTAAAGCATCATCTGGATCACTAAACATGTCAATGAGAGACCATGGCTGCTCTGACAATTCATGTACGAAATTTTCTGCATTAAAGTTCTTTAAGTACCTATATTTTATAGTGGCATGCATTGGACCTTTGATAACAGTTTTAATTGTTCGTCGTGTGAAAAATATAGGATAATGGTCGCTTATAGAGAGTATAGGGACTGCAGTGTAGGATACATTATGTGGCTGGTTACTGTAAATATGGTCAATATGAAAAATGTGATCATGAGAAACATGATAACAAGTCTAAAACAAGTAAGATGGTACAGAAGTCAGTAAAGTCGGATACTTACTGACAGCCTCAATGACATCAGCAAGCAGAACACCATCAGTGACATCTTGTTGTAGATCTGAGATGTAACGTTTACTTCGGGCTTTTTCCAAATAGTGGTTCGCCCAATCTGTATAGATCTGAAAAAATAAAATTCAACAGTAATTATCAAAGGTGTATATATCAAGGAAATGAAATTTACACATGGAGACACTATTTTCTCTTTAAACTTTTTCACTCCAGATAAGACAACTTTACCATTTATACTAAAGTGTAATATTTAACAATTTCAATGCTAAATATTTTAAATAGACTTGTCATTTTTACAATCTAGACAAATCTATTCATCAATTGAGGGAAAAATTTCAAAATATGTATTGACTTTCAGAAATAAGGAATAGTGCAGATCATTTACTGGTCTTACTGGTGGAATCAGTTGATTTATATTGAATCAATAAACATTTACCATAGAACAATTAGCCATTCTTTGTTGAACAAATAACTCCTTAAGACTGTTTTAAATCATTAATTACACAATAGTTTACTGAGATTTAAGGGTGTTCTACAAATCTCTGTTTGCAGATTGTTGCTCAAAGACAAAGCTAGACCCTTGAAAGTCATCCATTTATTTTAGAACTATAACATTAGGCTTCTAACAATAATTAAAACAGATTGCTGCTCTTTGAACTATGTTTTCCTAAACTCTTCAGTCTAGAGTTTTGTTCCTTGAACTCTTCAATTTAGGAGGAGAGATATTTACAATTCTGATGCATTATGGGTACAAGCTCTTCTGTCAGGAGGTTTGTTTCTGAAGCTCTTCAATTTATGAGGGAAGATATTTACAATTCTGATGCATTATGGGTGCCATGTGTTTGAGAAAGCTGGAAAACTATGAATATTATTGATGCAAATACCATAAAGAGCTTGTAAAATTTGCAAATTTCTGTAAAATTTTATCGGCCTAGCAACCAGACTTTAAAAATCAGCAAACAGGAACTGGTTATAACAATTCAAATCCAATGATTTATTAACAATGTTTCATATCTTCTGCATAAATCTGCATGAAATGATTCACTTTTCACCACAGCAGTAATAAGAAACACTTTGTTATACCCATATCTGCATGCGTTTTGTTTTAAATTTCTTTTTAAGGGAGCTCACTCCTGAAGCACATACAAAATATGTACAGTTGTATCCCTTGGCTTCAGAATTGAGAATTATTTAGTTAGCTGAAAGCTTTTTTACGAAAATCAGCTAACTTCACAGGAAACAATTATTATTTTTTACTATTGAAAGGGTGTAACACTATTTGCTAGAACACTTCATTATGGTGGAAAGAACTTTTCAAACATAGACTATCTGTCACCATCCTGTGTCCTTATGAAAATGTTACTAAAATCCCACAACGTCTGACACATCTAATATAACCAATACATTACAACCTCTATAAGGCACTTAACTAAATGAATGATACGTAAATGTCTTGCATTAAACTGAACTGTTATAGAAATATACTATATCTATGTTATTGAAGGATTTTTTATCTTTCCTTTTATAGTGCTCACAAGAAAAAATCTGAATATCATTATCAATTTGTCATGCAAATTGGCACAGACCAGACCAGCAATTATCTTTTTAAAAACAGTGAACATTATGAAGTCTATGAGGAACTTTTTCCTGAACTTATAATCAAACATTCATCTTTAATAGAAGCAACACCATCCTAAGTCATTCTTTAAACAGATTAAGATAATACACTTCTGCTTCGATTCTTCAAAATGTCCTTGAAGTCCTTCAGAACATCTTAAACATAGCCTGCTTGCAAACCTAATTAGTTTACCTGCATTTCCCCCATTAACAACAGAACACATAAATAATTTCCCCAACAACTGGAGGCACTCATCTTATATATTCATAAAAACTATTCTTTTTTCTGTGAATGAAGTACAACTGTATGTGTAACGGAACAAACCATTAAGCTTTGTTACAGTATATGATGCATATTCATGAGAATATGTAACACTATAATACATGTATGTGTTACATTAATATTTTACACTCAAAACTTTTATTTGGCATACATGAACAATAACTGATATCAAATTGGTAAAAAACAGAACACATCACAAACTTAATGATATTATCAAACGCATTTAAAAACCAAAAATTGGCTCTTCCATTGTTTTGTTTTTCTAGTTCAATACTCAGTAAGGTTCAGCAACTGAATCAAATATCTCATGCTAATCTCCTCTTATTAATGCCGAGCCCATCATAGTAAATGTATGAGTACTTAGCCATGCAAGGGGAATAACTCATATACACAATAGTATGATCCATCTTGAACAAGGACGATCGATCTACCAGCGCTTCTGAAGATATTCAGTAAGACAATACTTTTCCACTTATGGCACATTATGTGAGGATATAGATATGAGTTACTGAACTGTTAAGAGAAATCTAGAAAAATGAACTTAAAATAAAATTGTTATAGTGCAAAGGTTCTGGGATTGCTTAAAGATGTAGAAATGGCTATCAGAATATAAGAATAATGATTTTTGCATTGTTAGAGAAAGGAGGGCTACAAAATTCTAAAGGGCATCAAAACTGCTATTTATTTTTATGACCAGGGATTCAAAATGCATTCCAGTCAATGGAAGGACACCAATAGGACCAAATTACTTTGCAGGATTGTTACTAGGACTATGGTCTTGGACTAGAATTAAACAACAGGCATTACGGAATATAATAAACTATATAGAAGAAATGTCTAGAAAAATAAGAGAGCTAAAAGAATGATAACAACAAATCGGCAAGGAAACACTTCAATCTAGCGATAATGCAACTTAAAAACCCTTCATAATATGTTAATTTCATCATGATATAATATTCTAGTCCCAACATTAAATCATTTTTTTACTGAAATAACTGTGAACAGTATCAGATTTTATGATCTCAAAAATGACTGATAAGCCATAAGTAGGCTGGGCAGAATTCTCATTAATCACAGCAGTCAACACTTAACAAAACTCATATACCTTCCCACACATAGCACACTAATTTTAAACACTTTCTCTGGATTTTGATAAAAATTAATAAAAATGAATTATTAGATTTTTATCAAATCTCAAGATCTTGAGGGTGTTTTTATATATATTTTTTCCCCTGGTTGTTCTTTTTTATTTGATAGAAAGGCACTTGGTTTATTCTTTAATATGTGTGTGGGTTTAATTTGGAACAGTTATAATAGGCAGTTTAAATTCTAGAAATTCTAGAATGATTAGCTTATCATACTTTTCACAGAAGAAAAAATTCTGGTGTTGTGAACAATCTAAATTTTAATTACCATGATTTAGTTAGGTCTGACCTTGAAAGAGTCATTTTAATAAAAAAAAAAATTTAAAATGATCACAAATGATCACATGAGAAATTTTTTATTGAATTTATTGATTTTATTTAATTTCCTTTTATTTTGAATGTTCATTATAACATTAATACATGTTAAATTAATTTTACATTGTTTGCTCTTGTCTTCATTATCTCCCTTCAAAATGTTCATTTTTGGCCCATGACCACTAATAATGATGACCATTAATAATGGATGACCTGCTTTAATGGTACCTGGCGGATCAGACTGCTCCTCAATTTGCTAGATAACACTGATGACTTTGGTGGTGGTGGTATTGGTAGTTTTCTTACCAGATCACACTGTTTTTTTTCTGGCCAGGCTGTCAAGCAGTTTACCAGTTCTAGTTGCCTTCACTTTCGCATATAACTGCAATTACTTCTCTACCTGTCAGAGTAGAGGTACAGACTGCTTAATGACCTTAGAAAGGATTTCATGATCAATCACAATATAAGTTACCTGCACCACTCAGGAATTGAACAAGGTTGCCCAATTTACTGTCCAAAGCTGAGATCTACCTCTACCTATTGAGCTAACGAGATTGCTTTTATACTGGCGACTTTTCAGCCAACAGTCCAATTATTGAATTAATTTCTAAACATCATTGCTCAACAATACATGTATTTTAGGAGGAAGAGATTTAAGCAAATAAGTGCCAGTACAATATAAACTCAGGGAAATACATTCACAATTTATACCAAAGTCCAACACTGAGGCCCTAAATCAACTTAAAATTTCTTTCAACACAGCACCATTTCAATCAACACATAGATTAAAAGCCCTCTGTCAAGAAAATACATTGTATGCTGACTCAGCAAGAATAAAATCTGCTCAGTGGTTTCAGATTTGTTTATTTTGTAGCACAATATGTACTGGATTAAACTCTCAACATACTGAGGAAATCCGCTCATTCTGTGATAAGAAATAACCAGATCTGTGCATTTTGCATGAACTTTTAATTATTTTGCACTTGTATTTTGTTAAAATCGTATATAAAAGCAACAAGAACAGAGAAAATTTTTCAACATGTCTTTGCAAATAAATTATAAATATGTTTTTTTTCAATCACTTTTTACCTTGGTATCAGGGATGACATTTGGAACGGTTGCAAGAGGCTAAAGGCAGAAGGCCTCTTACAACAGTTCCAAATGTCATCCCTGATACCTTGAACTGTTTTAACTGACTTCCACAAACACTCATGACATGACTGTATACTGTTATAATATTATACTAGTATGTAAATAGTCATATTATATGTGATACTGGTTACATATGTCCAGTCTCATTTATTATAAGAGTCCTACAATTGTATTTTAAATATGTATAAGGAATTGTTTTATATTTGTTCATATAAGAAAGAGACTTAAACAAACAAATAAATAAATAATTGTTAAGCCTCTATTCTAAGGTTTAGAGCTGCTTTAACATCCGCTTGGTATTTTGGAATAACTTTTGTTTTTTCATTAAAACTGTTTAGACATGTAAACCTCTGAATAACAAGAGCTGTCCGTAAGACAGCGCGCTCGACTTTTTTATTGCTTGCCAATAAAAAAAGTTTTTGCAGTAAAAGGCAATACAAGAATCTCTGTATTTTTAAAGTGAACAATGGCCATGAGCATTAAGATATTTAGTGGAGAATTATTTTACTGAATTGTGTGATTACCCTTGAACACTGCAGCAAAGTTTGAAATGTTTAAGTCAAAAGAGGGCTGGTAAGAAAGAAAAAAAAACTGAGTTGAGCCT